GCTTCTGCGGCGATGGCGCCTTCGCGGAAGCTCGGTGCAAAGCTGCCAGAGGATATGGGTCGTGGCTAAGCAACCCCTTTGCGGGCTTGCACAAAAAGGAAGCCAGGAGCCCACAAGTCTGGGGGTCAAGCCCACTGTCCGGAGCTGCACTTGGCTGGAGCTGAGTTGGATGGCCATGGCATTCTGAGGAGGTCACTTGTGTGACAACCACGACTACCACCGCAGCGACAACGACTGTTTCCACCACAATCACCACCACCACCGCAGGCAAGGCTGCGCTGATGTTCATAGCCAGGCATCTGGCATTGTACCCGCCTTCTCATGTAAGCTGAAACCATTTGGAACAAGTACTAGCCTGTCAGTGATGGTCTTTTTGGCAAACACCTCTACAACCCTGAGAGTGATGACAAGGGTATTGTTGTCGAAGCTACGGCTTCCAAATGGTTTCGTGTTTCCTGAGAAGATCCCTTCCCACTCCCCCGGAGGGCATTGGGTCTGTGCAGGTGAGTGTGCAGCCCTTGGCGGAGGGCTGAAGCAATGCTCGGACGATGGTTGCACGGTGTTGGCCGGGGGGATGCTCTCGAGGCAGGGGGCGCGCAGTTGAGTTCAAGGGCGCCCAGACATTTTAGGTTTGTGTGTGTGTGTGGAAGTAGCAGCTCTCTAGAATTGGTTTCCTGCAGTGTTTTCCATGAGGGGTGCAAACTGTTTTAGCACATCCTCGGTTGTTTGCCTTGCCCACCCCGAAGTTCGTGCAGAGGCTTGGGTTGAGGCGCCCTATTGGCATGGGTCGCCTTCGGCTTTTCGGAGGACTTGCAGGCAGTACTGCCTGGAGCACCACCTGGACTGTGTGGCCGCGTGCGGTGCCCAGAAGTCATAGCCATTGAAGCAGTAGCGCAAGATGCTGCGCTGGGCAGAATCTGAGCTGAGGTGGGAAGACAGCGATGATGACTGCAACATTTTGGCCTCGCTGACCTGCGACCAGATCTATGACGGCACCCCGGATCTGATCTGCCAATGCGCCCCCCTGCCGCCGCCCCCCGCAGTGTGGATCCAGAATGCTCAGGGCCATTGCCTGATGGCCCAGGACGGAGTTGGCGTTCATGGAACTCGCCTCCACTTTGGTAAAGTTTGGCACATGTTGGCAATTCAAGCGCAGTGGGGTGATTTGAGCGCAAGGGGATCAGCTAGGATTGTGGAATTCGCACTAGTTAGCTCACTGCACAACATTTCATGACTCATTAAAAAGAAAAGGTGCCTCAGGCAAGACAGTTTTAGAGGTTCAAGTGGGCCCCCTGAGTGCGTCGCACAACGGCTCCATGGAGGTTTGAGTTTGTCCAAGACCATGGCAGCCAGGCTTCGTCAGTGCAAGCCAATACATGATATGAGGCAAAAACATCATCGCTTGTCAGGCGAGGTTTTGTCTCTAAAGATAGCAGGTGCGGCGGATCTGCTAGCGCTTGGGGCACAGAAACCTCCAACACGACGCCGCCTTGCAAGAATTGAAATAACACGCCATTTCACGTTCTTGGGTATTGGGCGCCATTCGTACTGAATCAAAAAACCAAAAAAGAACGATGTACCAAGTGTTCAAACATGCCAAAGTGCTGGTTCAAGCAGCGTGCCGAGCACCTCGCCTCGCCACTCATGCCGCCCGTGGAGCCGAACCTCCGCGTCAGCCGCGAGGTGCGGCGGCTGAAGGTGGCCTGCGTCTCGATCCCGGAGGCGGGGCATCTGGTGCCCACCGCGCAGGTGGCCAAAGCTTTGGGGCAGCGGGGCCACGAGGCGGTGCTGCTGACGCTGGACAGCGCGGCGCCCAAATTCGCCAAGGCCTGCGAGGCCTCGGGCTGCCGCTTCGTGGGCCTGGCCAAAGGCCTGCCCGGCTCTGATGCCCCGGGGCCGGTGGCGGATCTCATGTCCAAGGGGCTGATGTCCAGCGCCATGTTTTACGTGAGCGACGCCATGCGCCCGGAGCTGGTCGACTGGCTCAAGGCCGAAAAGCCGGACGTGGTGCTGGCGGACTTCTTCACTTTGGCGCCCTTGCAGGCCGCAAAGGAGCTAGATTTTCCCATGCTCCTCAACGTGCCAGGACCCTTGGAGATCTTCAAGAAGCTGAACACGGCCAGAACCGCGCTGCCCTTCTTCGCCAAAGTCTTCCTTGCCAGCTACAACTTCTCAGAGGCTCGGCTCACCTACCGCATGTTCGCTCAGATCCTGCCGGAGATGAGGAGTCGGGTGTGCCTGGTCAACAGCTTCTTCGGCCTGGACTTGGCCTGTGACTTGCCGCCCTACGTGGTCGTCACCGGTTCCACGGCCGCGCGGCCGTCCGCTGCAAAGATCACGGAGACGTCGGACGCCAAGCTGAATGCCTGGCTCAAGGAGATGCGGTCGTCAGGGAAGCTGCGCGTGGTGTATGTGACCATGGGCAGCATGCAGGTGCTAGAGCCCTTTCAGCTGAAGGCGCTCTACGAGGGATTGCAGGCACTCAAAGGTGTCGCTGTGGCCTGGTCCCTCAAGGAGCAGCAGCAGCAGCAGCTGCCGGGAGGGGTGGAGAACATCCCTTCGCACTTCTACGTGGCCAAGTGGCTACCGCAGGGCGAGGCGATGCAGCTGCCCGAGGTGGCGGTGGTTGTGACGCACTGCGGCTTCGGGGGTCTCAATGAGACCATCGCGGCCGGGAAGCCGATGGTTTGTCTTCCCTTCCGCGCCGACCAGCCCCAGAACGCCCAGATCGCGTGTTCCCGGGGCATGGCCGAGCAGCTGAACCCTCTGAAGCTCACGGCGGCGGCGGTGACGGGTGCAGTGGCCAAGGTCTTGGAGGACCCGCGCTACGCGCAGAAGGCGCTGGAGCTGCAGCGGCAGTCGCTGAAGACCAAGGGCGCCGAGGCGTGCGTGGATGCGGTGGAGCGCTTCGTGGAGAACGAGGGCTGCGAAGAGCTCTTCCTGAGGCCGCCGAAGGCTTGGGCATCGTCCTTGCTGGGCTTCGGTTCTTCACTGGGCTTGGTGCTCTTGGGTGCGGCCGCTATGTGTGCCCTTAGCCGCAGGCGCTGAGCCCCCAGTGACGCCAACGCCCTGTTTCAGGGGCTTTCTCTTCCCTGGGAGCAAGAAGGCTAAGCTGATTTGCTGATTGCCTTTTCGAGGGATTGTGAGTGTTTAATGTGCCGATCATTTGATTGCTGTAGTTTTAAGCCGGGTGAACACTACCCTGGCAATCGAAATAGGAGCCGATAGAGTTGGCTGCCTTTGACCTCTCCGACGTCGCCGCCATCGATTCAAAAAAACGAGCGGTGGCTTGGCGGTGCTTTCCAGGAGTTCAATCGGAGCGGAGCTGCTGTCAAGCTGCACCCGTGTCTCGATCCAGCGGTGCCTGCTGAGCATCTTGGAACGTGCATTCGCCATACGTGCATTCGCCAGGTTGCAACTTGTGGTTTGTGAAAGTGTGCTACCTGGCCAATGAGCCCATGAGGCAATGGATTCATTTCCCATCAGGGCAGCTGAAGAACCCCAGGGAAGATATGCGCTGCTTGCACGTTGCAGAGCTGAACACCCCAGGCCAGAGCTTGAGCCATCTAGCCAAGCCAAGTCTCCATCCCTGAAGGTTCGCTGCTTGTGATGTGGCAATGCAGCGCAGATGAGCCAGCCCAAAATTTCACCATGGATGCGGAGACCGGGCAAATGCGCATAGGCGGGGGAGTTCCACCCGCGCTTCGGCGCTTCACTTTGTCCTTGCCAGGCGGACTCTGTTTGGAGTCGCGAAGCGGAGCTGAGATACTGGACGTGGTGACGGCGGCGTGTGGGGCGAGTTCAAACCAGCGGCTCGGCTTAAGCCGAGACTCTGGCGAAAATCGGCGGTTCCGTGAGGTTCTTCCAGTGGGGCGAGAGCCAGTACATGACCACCACCACCACCACGGTCGGGTGGACCGTCGGGGCCTCAGCGTCGGATGCCTCAGGGCCTTCACAACACCCGAGGACGGCGTCTGGGGCCGGCCCACGAGCAGCAGCTCTGGGCTTTGGCAGCACCGCGAGGGCCACTGCGTGTCATCGCAGCGCCTCGGACGGGATGACGGGATGGCAATGGCCACCTTGTGACAAGGATTTCTTGAGAGCTTGGCACTTGATCCGAGCCTTGGGAGGTGCGATGTATGTCGCGTTTTTTGGGAGCCAGCACCAGCGTTGCGTAGAAACCAAGGTTGCTCATGGCAAACTGTGATGCAACGAGTGCCTCGATGCAGAAAGCCTCTGACGTCCCTGCAAAGTGAGAGATAAGAAGACTAGTTCAAGCTGAAACAGGTTCTTCCTTAGTTTCCTTTGCACGTGCTGATTCCATGCCGCTTCATCCACGAGGTGCTGCGCAGTTTTTTGCCTACAATCAATCTCTGCTGCAAATTGCCGCTGGCGGACTCTGTTTGGAGGCCGAGAGTGCCTCGGCAGTTTCCAGATGCTATATATTCGGGTATATATCAAAACAGGTTACATAAGGGAACCTCCAAATGTCTGGTTTGTTTTCGGTTGTGCTCAAAAAGCACAACCACAATTGCATGCCTTTGTGAAGGATTGCAACTCCTATTTGCAGGACGTTAGCTGCTAGTTTTTTGCACACGCACACACACAAATTCCAACACTTCCACCACGCCCACGCCTACGCCCACCACCACGCGCCTGCGCACGCATACGCACGCTCATGCTCCTGTGGCCTGCGCCTGCGCGTTCGCCCTCGCCTGCGCTCACGCACCCACACGCCAGCGCAACCCCGGGTGCAAGTCTACGTGCACGCGCAATCGCACGTGCGCTAGCGCGCGCTCGTAGGGCCACGGGCACGCACGCCCAAGCACCCGCGTTTGCAACCCCTCCGCCCCGCCGCTGCTCGCCGCCCGGGCCGCCCTACCGCCACCACACCCCTGCTGCACGCACACGGCGCCCTCCAAGACGGTTGGTGGACGTAAACACACAAGGACCCCAATCACAATTCATTGCAGAGTTGCTGGCTTATTCCAAGGCAGCTC